AAAAGAAAAAAAAGTAAGAATGAATTTCTAGGTACCTGCAAGCTATACTCACGAAGCTCTTCATCATTCTCCGATGCATTATTGCAGTAGTTAATTAGAATTGGAACTGCATCCCCAAGGTGCGGGCCAAATCGATAGCCAACAGCACGGCTAAAAAACAACAAAAAAAATCCACATTTCATTCACTATGATTCCTCATCAATGTTAAAAAGAAGAAAAAGATCCCATATAGAATGCATTCCGTCATCTATGTCGAGCATCAATAGAGATCTTAGTGAAAAACAAGAAACCTCATTAACCCACTACACCATGCTAAGCACATAATATCGTCCCAGTTTAAGACAACTATGATTGCTTAGGCACACACATCCCTTCATGCTATTTTACGAACTCTCTAACTTTCTCAATCAAAACCAAAGGTCCATGAGCATCCCGCACATTTGGAAAGTCGGATTGCAAAAATTTGGAGCCACAGTTTCATGAAAATGAGTCAGTCAAATATTAACAGGCATACAAAAGATGAATATTGAATTACTTTTCCACAGTAAACATAATAAGAAATCTCTGACAGAATAAACTATAACAAATATTTAGGGGGTTATTGTTTATGGATTCAACTAATTTTTATTTGGTTTGTTTTTTAAGTATAGTTAATTTTGAAAAAAAGTGGTATGGTTAGTTGTTAGTGGATATATTAAAATAATATTTAAATAAAATAATTAAAATTGATTTGATGTAAAGTATGAGAAAAATGATTGGAAGTGATGGTTAATTAAAATTATGTGAGTGGATGAATAGTAAATTAAAGTTGATGTGAAGTGTAGAATGATTAGTTGATATAATTTAGTTATATTGATAATATTGAGGATAGTGAGGTTGAGTTAAATTTGAATTTTGTTTGGTTTTTTCACTATTCAATTTATATCCAATCGCCCCCCTTAGCCTTTACAACAAGTCGACAACTGAAAATGAATCCCACCGAACAAACCAGTATTGTTTGATGTATGAATGAAGATTTTGAACAAGCAAAATTATATAGAAACACAAGCAATGATGGTCCGAAAATCCCTAACTGGTGACGTACCTTAAAGCGCCAATCATCTGAATGTTTGTTCGTGTGATTTCAGATTTGGTGGTCTGAATTTTCAAAAGCCGAACAACTTCAACTGTAGCCTTCGCCAGCAACTCATCTGATAAGCTTGATGCGAGGGATGCTGCATCACAAGTTCTAAATCATTATGTCTCAACCGAATTATGAGGTCAACTAATAAATTAATATTAAAAGACTATCTTGAGATATCTTGGTGTTCAGGAACTCCTACCAATACATGAAACAGTCTTCTTTCTAACACTGGCTTGATAGGTATTCAACTGGGGCAACAAAGCACCTAATAATACTTCATGATCCGATGCCATTAGATTGCCGTATTTGAGGAGAACATCACAAAGAATGTCGAGGGATTCACATTTGATTTCTGTGCTCATTCCCTATTCAAAATTAATAACATGAGGATCATGGCAGGGATAAAGAAATTTCATGAATATATGAGGAAGATCACATAACATTATTAAAAAGCATATATACTACTGCAGACGGACATAAGAGAGTTGTGCATGAAAATATAGTCGCACCAAATATAGTTAAACACTTGATACCAGGTCTAAAGGCCAACGGCAAATGCTTTATTTTCATATTTTTCTACTCTAGTGCATCAGACCAAAATTGAGCACAGGCGTTCCTGGTTGCAATTAACCCCTAAGTGAAAATTCCTGGTTGCAATTAACCCCTAAGTGAAAATTCCTGGACTTGCTTCGCATGACTAACTTTGACATAGGATTTGACATGAGAAACAAAGAAAAATGTAGGAGAAAATTATACTGGACCCACCTGAGTGGTTATTCCTCGTATCAACTTTGGGGAAATGGATACAAGAACAGATTGTGCAACAGACGAGGTAGGAACTTCAGCAATAATTGTCTTCAAAGCAATGCTAGCTATATCACGATTTTGCTCTTTTCCATTGAGCAATTTATCACAAAGCTTGTTAGTCATTTCAAGAACCTGCTGCTCGCGAATTTTCTTCACCAATGGAGCCAAACTTGAATTTACATGGCAGAAAAAAATTAAAATCAGATGACAAATGTCAACATTTTACAAATGTAAAATGAAACTTCAGCATTCAGATACATCCAATCCAGAATAAGAAAGCAAGCAACAAGCAATGCAAATAACCAGAAAATGCCACTTCATATTTTCCATTATGACAATAGGCTTAATAGCTACTTGAACAAAGTCTGTCCTCTAAAAATAAAAATTCCCCACTTAGTTTGAATTCACCAAATGCTCTTCTTAAGTATATGAAAAGCCCCTCACCCACATGGTGAAGCCAATGAGTCTTCAAAAAGGAATTGCAATTTTATTATCAACATAACATATAGAAGATTGCAGACGGGACATGAATGTGTTGTAAAGCATAGCTTCAAGAACATATCCAATCTTGATTAAAAAAATCAACCAATGGTAAGAAAACCACATATAAGGTGCAGTTTAGGGGGCAAATACCAACAAGGCAATGAAAACGGACTTCAACAGAATATTTACGTTTTCCCCTCATAGAACTAGGGGCCATAGTAAAAAGCACAGGGACGTAGAGAAAGGAGATTCAGAGAAATTGGAGTTCATAGTTTAAGCAATTTGATATGATCATAAAAACATGACCTCAAATAGTCATTATTTCCTTCAACGAAAATGTCACATTTTGAAGCAAACTAGCTTTCTTGAAGAAGGCAGATCTTCAAGACAGGTGGTGGAAATGCAAAATAAAGGCTAATTCCGAGAGCAAACAAGGCAAATGTCTAACTAATCCAGATCAATTTTAGGGAGGGGCACAGGANCCAAAAAAAAAAAAAAAAAAAAAAAAATGGAGCAAATACAAGGCTACATATTCAATGAAAATTAACAGACCACTTCACAGCTAATCCAGACACTTCGCCTGCCGCATCATCAAGTTGCTGTATGACAATGTTGGACAATTTTGCTTCAAGATCGCTATCAAGTTTAAATCCTTCTTTGTTTAATTCATTAAGCAAATCTGAAGTTGCCATGTATCTGTAATCCTTATCCTTTCCAGTCATCTGCATTACAGCAGTAGCCAAATTAGGTCGATGCCATTGGCAGCCATCCTCTACTGATCAAACAGCATAGCAGAAAGGGAATCTAGAATAAACTATTAAAGTCTCCATTGATTTACCTTTTCAAGTATCCCGGTCAAGGTTAAGTTCGCCATCTTTGCAAGACTTTAGGAACAACGGAGAGGATTCAGAATGTAACTCACCAGCAGTAGAAAGACACTTCTCACTGCAGGATATCTGACATGTCAAGTTTGCATAATGCCATAATTCATACAAGATTAAAGATTATATATAAGTATATAGGTATTTGTATGCACACGCATGTGCTTCATGCTGAAGAACAACTGAGCACAGTACATCAGCAAAGCAATTGAATCACACAAATAGATTAGGATAAAGCATTTTCTATTCATCAAAATTAATTTATATATGTTAAGACAAAATCTCAAGACAAACACAAAAGGACGTCCACATGGAATGAGATCAATCAAACTTGGAAAACAAAACATAAAGGCAATAGGTAGGGTAGACTGTGTTGCGCTAAAGCCTACGCGAAAGAAGTTCATCAAATCAATATTAAGACCAAATTGAACAGAACATATATAACTGAGTTATAGCTATTATGTACCGACAAATAGTAGATATTAACCTCTAAACTTATAATATTCAGATGAAAGGAAGAGGGGTTAGCAACAATGGTGTAACATAGAAATTTCAAAATAATAAAACGCAAATTCGAGGCAATCAAATCAATTTCAGCCCAGTCCAAGAAAAACAAACCCAGTACGACAATCCAATCCGAAATGCATACATCAATACAGCATATTCATACACACGATTAACTCCATATTTCCACAGCATTAACTCATATAGGGAGGAGAGAACACCTGCCAGCTGCGAATGCAAATAAGTCGGAGTTCAAATACTGCTGAGTATGTAAATGTTAATTGACGTTCTCATATATATTAATCCGATCGACTGAAATTTTTCGGTCTCTTAAACCCTACACATGAGCATCTTAAAGAAGTGTGGGGGATTGAGAGTTCGATTAAAGGCATGTTTGGGCGTCAGAAAATAGGGGATCTTTTTGAAGGCTCGTAATCTCGTTCTTTACACTTTTTTAATTTTATTAATTAATTAACAAAAAAAAAAAGAGTCGTATATTAACTATTAAGACCATCTCAAAGATAAAACAACTACGCACGTTCTTTTTGGTCGCCCTGGTGTAAAGAATGAAGTGACTGCTGCTCCGGACACACTATTGTTGCGCTCTAAATTTTCAAATACTTTTTTTGTTTATGTTTACTATTTACTCTTGCAATGCACGGAACAGAGATATTCAATTAGTTATTTTCGCAGACTATTTTCTTTTTTCTTTCTTTTGTTTCTGTTTACTAGTATCTACCGTTTAAGTCTAAAACCATTAGGATTATCATCTATTTTACATCTCTTCTAATCAGCGTTAAATCTAAAAAACAATAATGTTATAGGCCTTGTTTGGTAATCAGCTGTTACGGTTAGCTGTTAGCTCTTTATATTAGTTGTTTAGACCAGCAGATTGCATTAGCTATTTTGACCAACTGATTGTGTTAGCGGTTTGTAAAAAGGTGTTTGGTAAATTTAACTTTTTTAATTAGCTGTTAACATATAAACTTATAAGAACATCAACATACTTTCATATTCTAATTTATGTTGAACTTATAATTATTTAGGAAGTAGAAATAATTAATATTTTTAATATTTATTAATTGATTTAAATATGATAAAAAATATAAATAATAATAAAATAAAAATATTTAATGATGAAATAAATAAGTTCACGTCATATATAATTTTTTCCTTTTTTTTCTTGTCATCAGAATATCCTCAAAAGTATAAGTTATTTAAGGATGTATAGGGTTAGGATCTAGGAATAATTTTAACATAATAATTTAAAGTTTCTTAAAGTTTTAAAAATTAGTTTTGTCATTTTATAAGTGTATCAAAAGTAGTCTTATTACACACAAATTCATAATAACAGTTTCGTATTTTTTTAGAATTAATCAATTTAAAGATCATTTATGCCCAAAATTGACATGTCATATCCACCCATTAATTTTAAATTTTGGACTGGTTTTCACACGTGTCCCTAGCTCATAGACGCCAAGCAGCAAGCAAAATCTAATTTGTAGCTACCAAATCCAAAGTTTTAAAACTAATTAGCAAAGACCCTTATTTTATTATATTCAGCAATAAGGTAATGAGAAGGACAATTAAAGACATTTGATTTTTATACAGGGAACCGCCAAACTAAAACGCTGCTAAAAGCAGCGTTTTTTAATTTGGCGGATGGGCACAAAAAAGCTGTTTGTAACAGCTTGTTGATATCCGAGTTGGACGCGTATAAAGGGAACGGTTCAGAGGTAGGGGATCGGAGGAACTCGACCCGATTAATTGGGACCGGTCATCGTTGCTTCACAAGTACCGATCTGGTCAAGAATCAAAGTTAACGAGTCCAATGGACCCGGTCACTTCCGAGGTCGGCACTCTGAACTCTTCGTCGGAAGGTCGACCCGGGAAAATGCCGACCCGGCGAGCAAGGCCCCGGAGGACGCAGGAAGTCGTGGTAAGGATGCCGACCTGGAAGTTACGTTGGGTCGGCTCCCGCAGGAGCGTGGGGGTCCAAAGAATAGTATTAAAATGCCACTTGCCGGTCAATGATTACCGATGGGACGTCTCGGACTAGCCTGCAACCCTCAGATACCTAGCCCGACCTATAAGCATGCACGCATTTAATGCAGCACATGTCTGCAGGAAATGCCCTGAAAGTAATGATTGGGGATGTAACGCTCCGTTTTACTTTTAAGAATTTACCGAATATATTTAATAAAAATCAGAGTTTTTTTTTTTTTAAAGTCCAATTTAAAAACATTTAACGAGAACCGGCTAACAACACAACCAATCATTCAAAGAACCTACACATGCTCGAGCTATCAAAATAACCAATTCCATGAAAGAACATAAGTCTCAAAATCATTCTCAATCGCCTAGCATAAATCAAGGTTCTAACAAAATTCAAACATAGTTCGAAAGTGAAGAAATAAATAATCCAAAGTATGACAACAAATAAATAAATAGCAAGTTCATGCGGAAACATAAGATGTCAACACATATTGACCACCATCTCGCTCGTCCTACGCCACTGCCTCCAGTTGGTCTCAACCTAGAACAAAGGAAGAGAGAGAAGACAACAAAGAAAATAATGGGGGTGAACAACCAACAAGCTCACCATTATCGCACAATTATCCCGTATAATAATTTTAAAAACAAGTAACCACAGTATACAGTATCAGTATGCATAGAATCAAAAAGTCTAAACCCCCTACCGGCCCTATCGCAAACCTCCTATGTACATACAACAAACCTTCCGACCAGACATCGGCAAGGCCGTAACTGAAAAATTTCCCCCACCCCGAACTACTCACGGATCATGGGAGTCCACCCCGAACTACTCACGGATCATGGATGTTTTCCAGGAGACAGTGGAGATGTTTTTCCCCCCCGAAACACACACGGATCAAGGCGTCTCCTCCCGGATACAACGGGCAGGTGACCTCTCACTGTTATGCATTCGTCAAAGGCACTACCAATAGGATAACTTAGACTAGGGTTCTCACGCATACATTCATTTTTAAAGGAAGCATTATACGAAATAAATGGTGCGATAAATATGGAATACATCATAAATGTACTCACTTGATAGCAGCAATAGATCAAATCACGACTTTCGAAAGTAAGACGAGGTCAACACCTCCAGACACCTACATTAAGTCCAGATACTAAATTCAACACTTTAATCTAGACCTAAGTAGAAAATTCACAAATTGACTTTGCCGAACTCGATTCGACCAAGTGGTTCGTGAAGTTCTGTGGATATGGGAACTCTAGGACTTAGATTCGATCAAACCTCATATTGAAGTTCACACAATTACCAATTAAAAGACAAACAAACAAGCCACAAAACAAAATTTGGTCACAACACTTAACTAAAAATCACTATTAAAACAATTGTCAAAATTCACACTTGTATTAGAAGGCATATCAAACCAACGAGTTAGGCTCTGAAAATTTTACATAAAATTCACCTTCCAGTATATAGCAAAAACCCCAAATTTCAGCCTCAAACTCGTTACATACAATTTTATAAAATTCAAACAAGTTTTTCGATAAAAACGAGCCTAAATTAGAAACGCATGATAATGAATGATTCAGGCCACGAAATGTTTATCTAAAATACTTCAGCATATGAGCAGCAACATATAAAAATATTAGCTTTTAACACTCAGCACATGAATTTATAAAATTAAAACCACATTCAGCCAATTATCAAATTACAATCAGAACGGACCTTAAACAAACACCAAAAATTCCAATATTTTTACAGCATGCTAAACATCAAATAAGAAGCACCTCCACAAATTTTCAGAATTTTTTAGTTTCAGAAAAATTTATTATAATTAAAACAAATTCAGGCAGAAACACCAATTAAATCATTAACCCTATCAAACCTTTCCAAAACTTTTACACAACACATAAATATAACAGAGACATGCCATACTCGAAATTCAGCCAAAATGGAGCACCAAATAATTATTAATGCATTTTACAAGAAACTGAACAGAAATCAAATTAATTTTTAAAAATAGCTAAAGACCTTTAAAAATCACGAAAATTTTACACCAGCTACATAATCATCAAAAACAGCTGCACCCAAAATTTCAAGGCAATCGGACCAGTATTCATTTTATAGTGAATTTTTCATTCCAAACAGCCAATATAAACTTCGAAAAATCATAACGGCAAATATACACCTCCAATCGACACAAGGTCAGTGCCATTGTGTTCGAAATAAATCCTAAGTTCCTAAATCCACATAAATTCATCACTTATCTTCAGTTCCCGTTCGATTCGCACGAATCGACGAGTTTCACATAAAAGCACGACGATACAATCACGAGCAACCATAATCATATAACATCATAACACATATATTAATTTAACGAACACACCAGGCACAACCGATCATAATATTATTCACACAATATTAAACAAGGAGTCGAGAATCAATACCGTTCTCAGAAAACGAGCGAGAAGGGTTCGAATGGGATCGACGGATGCTCGCATCTTGCCGGAAGAAGGAGAGCTCGTCGTGCGTGAGGGAAGTCGCTGCCGGAAGTGAGTCGCTGCCACGAGAAAGAGCAGCAAGTCGTGTCAGCGGCGAAGGGGTGCTCGTCAACCGCTGCGCATGGTCGCCGGAAGTGGTCTGGTTGCGGCGGCGCGAGGAGGAGCAGGTTGTCAGAAAATCACGTTGGGAAGTGGTCACGTCGTCGGGGCTCGCGGGCTGCTCGAAGGACGAACAGAAGTCGCCGGAACTCGCTGCAAGGGGTCGCCGGAGATCACTGCGCGAGTTGCTGAGCGCTGGTTGCTTCGCCGGCGATGATGGTGGTGAGACGAGGAGGAGCAGCAGTCGGGGACCTCCGCGAACAGCGGCTGCACGAACGGGAATAGTGCCGGGAAAACTTGCAGGATCGCCGGTCGTCGGCTTGCAGGCGAAGGCAGAGGGTGGCGGACCTTCTACGCGGCGGAGGAGGTCGTCGAAAAATTGGCAGTGGCGCTGCTCGGGGTTCGCCGGCGAGGTTGGAAAGGGTGGTGATGCGACGGATTGATTAAAGCGAGGGACATGAGATTTGCTAAAGGTTTCACGAGAGAAAGAAAAGGTTAGAGGGCGATTACTGGAGAGAAGAGAATTCTGATTATTGATGGTCTGCGGCGTGAGAGTTTGAGAGGGGGAAAGATACAACACTTTGTATATATAGGTTAGCTAGGTTGACTATTCTTGATGAGCAAAAAAAATTAAAAAAAGAAAAATCCCACTCACCCAACAACCACATGCGGGAAAAGAAAAAGAGTGGGCCAGATTTGGGCCATTGGGTCGGTCTGTAACAATGAATTGGCTCACGGGCTCGGGTTCGGTTCACGCGGGTGTTTTCGGGCTCGATTTCGATTCAAACGCGAAATAAAAATAAATCGAACGATAAATATTTATATATTAATACACATTTACACATTTTTTTATAAATAATATTTTAATAATCAAAATATACAATTAGCAA